ACTTGTCTGGTCTTTGGTCATTAGTGTTCAATGCATGAAATCTATTTTTGAGATGCTCTCTAAATTTAGGTGGAATGTACTCAAGGTCATACTTTGGCTCTCATGGACTTGTTCTAATTTTCTTCAGCTTCGACTTGAACTTGCATATGAGCAACTAATGGTCTGTTCTACAGTCGGTCCCTGGCCTTGTTCTGACTGATACTGAGCTATTCCACCATCTCTTTCCACAGATGTAGTTGATTTGATTCCTGTGCATTCCACCTGGTGAGGTTCACGTGTATAGTCACCGTTTGTTGTTGAAAAAAAGGATCTGCAATGAAGAAGTCGTTGGTCTTGCAGAATACTATCATGCAATCTTCGATATTGTTTCTATTACCAAGGCCACATTTTCCAACTACCGATCCTTCTTCGTTTCCAATTTTCGCATTCCAATCACCAGTAATTATCAATGCATCCCGATTGCATGTTGAATCAATTTCAGACTGCAGAAGTTGGTAAAAATATTCAATTTATCTTTGGCCTTAGTGGTTGATGCATAAATTTGAATAAAAGTCTTATTAAAACTGGTCTTCCTTGTAGGTATATAGATAGTATCCTATCACTGACAGCTCTGTACTTCAGGATAGATCTTGAAATGTTCTTTTTGACAATGACTGCAACGCCATTCCTCTTCAAGTTGTCATTCCTGGCATAATAGATCATGATTGTCTGATTCCAAATGGCCAATATCAGTCCATTTCAGCTCACTAATGCCTAGGGTACCCATGTTTATGCGTTCCATTTCATTTTTTGACGATTTTCAATTTTCCTAGATTCATACTTCGTACATACCAATTCCGATTATTAATGGATGTCTGCAGCTGTTTCTTCTCATTTTGAGTCATGCCACATCAGCAAATGAATGTCCTGAAAGCTTGACTGCATCCACCTCATTAAGGCTGACTCTACATTGAGGAGACCAACTCTTTCCTAGTTGTCTTTTGAGTGCCTTCCAACCTGAGGGGCTCATCTTTCAGCACTGTATCAGACAGTGTTCTGCTGTTATTCACAAGGTTTCCACCGGCCAATTCTTTTCAAAAGTAGACCACCAGATCCTTCTTCCTAGTGTGTCTTAGTCTGGAAGCTCAGCTGAAACCTGTCTGCCATGGGGGACCCTGCTGGTACTTGAACACCTGAGGAAAAGCTTCCAGCATCACAGCAACATGCAAGCCCCTGCAGTATGACAAACTGACAGATGCGTGGGGGATCTCAAACTACCAGTGTTTAGCAAATTAGGACAGTCTTCCTAGAGAATATCTATGGAAAGCCTTAAAATGTTTTAGCCCCTTTAAAGTAGTTAATTCCTCTGCTAGATTTCTAACAAAACAATAAAAAATGAGGATAAATGTTTATGTCCAGAAATTATTCAAGGCAGCTTCATTTATAACAGCTAAGCACTCTAAATGTCAGCAATTAGAGAATAACTAAATAAATAATAGTGCATCCAAACTATAAAATATTATGCATACGTTAAAAATTATGCTTAGGGATAATGTTTACTGACTTTGGAAAATACAAAACAATCCTAAGAAATTTAAAAAGTTATGTAGATGCAAAATGTATATTGTAAAATCTCAAGTTAGTTTAAAATATATACATACTTTATATACACAGGAGAGAGTAAAAATGCAGGAGAAAAAAATGTCAAATCTAACAATCATTTCTGTGGTGGGAATAAGCTCATTTTAATTTTCTTCTTCAAACATCTATTTATTTTCCAATTTTCTACAATACACACATTTGTTTCATTAGTTGAAGTATGCTTAAAGGTAAGCTTCAAGTAGTTGAAGATGCTTAAAGGTAAGCTTGCTTATGTTTACAACTAAAGTCCGAAGTTGTCAGATGATCATCCTAAAGGCTTCTCAGCTGACAGAGTCAATGCTGTCTACCAAAGTGGAAACTTACACCATTACACACTAAATGTACTGTAACGACGTTTACACAATTCCATATTCCCTTCTTTCTTCTATCACAGCAATCAGAGATCTTCTCTACAGATGATCCACTTCTCACCCTGGGAGTCTCTTATTCATTTTGAATATATTCAAAACAAAATCACACATGACTTAAATAATTACTACCTATGGTTAATTAACATATTAAATAAAATCTTGTCTGAATTTTTAAGAGCACATAAAAAACTGAGTGCCATCAAAATAACTAAAGATAAGCCTTTCCTCCACCTCCAATTAACCTCTAAACTCACCTTCTCTTACTCTGCCCTAGCCACACTGTCCTCCTTGGTGTTCCTTGAAGATATCATGCACACTCTCACCTTAGATCTTTGCCTGGAACATTCTTCCCCCTCATATTGCATGGCTATTCCCACATTCCCGCCAAGCCTCCACTCAAATGTCACTTTCTCAATAAGGCCTACATGGAACTCCTGATTTAACACTGAAACTTGCCCTCTGCCCTGGCACTCTTCATGCCGATCTAATTTTCTTCTCTCTTCACAGTATTAATTACCTTTAACAAACAATACAATTTAAAAAAATGTATATTGTTTAATGTCTTTTTCCCACCACCGGAAAATAAATCCAAGAAGAGAAGGATTTTGGTGATGCTGGGTGAGTAGGTGGGAGACTCCTTTTTTAGTCACTGGTTATGTCCAAAGTGCCTGAAAAAGAGCCTGACTACAGTGTAATGGATTTCTTATATATATGGCCTTTCTGGCTTTGGGTTTATAACTGCCGAAAAATAACTGATTTGGCTGTAGTCTGCCCGGTGATTGCTCTATTTTAAATACTTTGCAGGAATAGGTCAGTCTAATAAGCAAACAAGGTGTGTAAAACCACCCAATAGGATTAAGTGACCTTGTGGGAATTGGTAGATTACTATGCAAATTAAGTGACTGTGGCCTACCAAGGGGATTGGTCAGTTAGTGGTCCTGGTGGGAGGACCATGCCTTGAAACATAAAGGGGTTTCCTTACATAAGGGCCAATCCCACAGACGTTGAAGGGGACCTCATTATCATCAAGAAGAGCCTGGAGTGGAACACATTCTTTAGACCTGAGGTCCCTGTGCTAAGAACCCCCTAGACACAGGAGAGAGCACTATAACACTGAAGACAGTGAGACATGGTGGAGCAGTACAAGTGGCAGCAGTACAAGCAGCAGGAACCAGGAGACTGGTGCGAGGCGGATGAAGAAGGCTTGCCAAGCCATGGACCAAGAGAGAGCTGAGTGTCTTCGGGCAAGAGGCTTGCTGGTGGAGTAGGGTCCCTCCGGGCACTTGCTGGCAGAACTAATGAGCTGTAACACTTGCCCAAGCAGGGCAGAGGCTGAGAGAAGGTCCAGTGGTGGGCATGGCCAAGAGAAAGGCAAACTGCCTGCAGGCACGGCCCAGAAGCGGAAAGTTGTCTTGGTTGGAAACCGTCCTGACTGACAAACTGTATCCTGTCTCCTGAGTTGTATCCTATTATTTCCACTGATCCTGACCATAAGTTGTAACCTATTACTTTCCCAATAAACCACCTAATTGTGAGTACGGCGTGTGAGTTCTGTGTGGACACTGCAACAAATTACTGAACCCACTGGAGAAGTAGAGAGAAGTATCAGAAACGGTAAGAAAGTTGGAAGGAGGAGGTACGTCTGAGCTCCACTTCATAGGAATCAGTTTTGGAATGATCTTGATTCTCATCCCTCCTTGTGGACGCAGACGAGGTCAGATGCCACTAACTTATACTAACACATAGCACATGCTCAATAAGTATCTGTAGGATGTGTGAAAATACTAATGACACATCAAAGGACACAATCAGTGATATAATCTCTAAGAACTGTATCTACTACTTAAAATTGGACAATTTTCTGTGCATGTGTAATCGAGGGTAATATATAACATATAAACTCCTTAAAAGAAAGTTTGGTCATCTTTACTTTCTTAGGTGTTTCAGTTTGCTTCTACCAAAGACTTATGGATGGCTTATCGAAAAGTGCCCCAATTTTATTTTGTTAACATTGTGCAGTAGTCACTTTATTATCTGGGAGGGAAATTAATTAGTTTTTAAATATTTATGTATTACGTGAAATATGCTGAAATACTGTACAAAGATCCAATATGTCTTTGCATTATAAACAAAAATAGTTTTTAAAATTACATTTCTGTTGTTGTTGTTAGGTGCTGTCAAGTTGGTTCCAACTCAGAGTAATCCCATGTACAACAGAATGAAATGCTGCCCGGTCCTGTGCCATCCTCACGATACTAGGTATGTCTGAGCCCACTGCTGCACCCACTGTGTCAATCCATCTTGTTGAAGGTCATCTTCTTTTTCGCTGACCATCTATTTCATGATGTCCTTCTCTAGGGATCGGTCCCTCCTGATAATGTGTCCAAAGTAAGTGAGTGAGATGAAGTCTCGCTATCCCACCTATAAGGAGCTTTCTGGCTATACTTCTTCCAAGACAGATTTCTTCATCCTTCTGGCAGTCCATGGTATATTCAATTTTCTTCACCAACACCATAATTCAAAGGCATCAATTATTCTTCGGTCTTCCTTTATTCATTGTCCCCCATTATATATATTGTAACAGTTCAAAGTGAAAACCCTAAATCCCGATATAAATTTTAATAAGTGTGGTTAGTTGCCATCCAGTCACATCATTTTCAATTGGTATTTTTCAGAATTGCAAATGCTCAAATCAGATATCACTTTGGGTATGGGGAAGCCTAGTCACGTATCAAAGGCCTGGCCTATTTCTTGAATTGACATGCACTGCTGAAAACAGCCTAATATGTGAAATGAGACCCAACCAGAACTTTCTTTCCCTGTGATTTTGTAAGTAATCAGATCATATCTATTTATTCCTTTTCAATGCAGTTCTCTACTAATTTATACTCTTCTGTTCCTAGGGTTGGAAGCCTAAACTCTGTGACAGGGTCTCTACAACTCCTGAATAAAACAGCTCTCATAGAATACATGGGAAAAGCCTCCCCCAAGATGTTGTTTAAACAATACCTCTGAATGACGTTCTACACTTCCAGTGTCTGATCCAGAGTGCTGCTCATTTACAGCATCCTCAACGTCTGACCCTGAATCCCGTTCATCCTGTACTGGGGTAGCACCACCATCATCTGCTTAAAGATAAAACAAAAACCCACTGAGATGACATCTACAGCTAAAATAAACACATTGAATCAAGAAAAATATGAGCAAATATTACCACCGACAAGATATAACTAACGATGCTAATATTCTGAGCAACAGTACAATACTCATTATCAACAATAACATGTATAGTGACATATATGGCAGGAAAGATACCATAAAAGAAAGGCAAAGCTTAAGAAACATAACTAAAGACCAAGTCAACCACCTCTAAATAATAATGTGCTATTTATCTAACTAAATCAAGCTACTTCAACTTTGTTAAAACTGAGTACTTCTCTCCCCAACACTTACCACTCCCTAATGCGTTTTGTGATTTATCAAGTTATTTTAATTTGGATATTTCCTCACTTAATAAAAGTGCCATGAGAGCAGGGATTTTGGTTCAAAATTCTGAGTCCCTGGAGCTCAGAACACTGTCTGATACATAATGCTCATTAGGTTATTTATGAATGAAGAACACAAGGAATTCCAGTCTGGAAATACTGTAAACCCATTAAAGTAAAGCATATAACAATATAAAATGATTGATAAATATGAATTGCTACCTAACATTAACTAAGACTTTTAAAATACAAAGTAATTGTATTGAGAAGAATTCAAGGGCTGGAGAATATGGGAAGTCTCAGTCAGAGGTCTGATCAAAATAAACACATAAAAATAGAGCAGTCAACTCCAGGAAAACCAAAAAGTTGTATAAGAATGGAATCACTATCATACTATGAGCTACTTGGCTAAAAAGTAAAGAATATAAGTTTGAAATTTAAGGAAAAACCATATGCAACGGAAGATGGAAGAGACCACACAGAAGGCAAAATACTGTCATACCATAATAGGACATTAGTATAGAATACCTAAAAATTATGCAGCAAGAGATAGCATAAATTAGGAATATGAAGGTAAATACAAAGAATGGAAAGTCGCTGGAGGGGGTAAGTCAGGCACTATTTTTTGTTATGTCCTTTAGCACTTAATCTATGTACATGTGTTACACATGATTTTTTATAAAGTAATTTAAAAACAAATGATTGAAAAACTATTTTGAAAGCATTAAAAAACGTCTGAAGCAAAACAGCAGGGCACCCCTGGAAAAGCATTTTGCTGTCATTACCATTCACTGGCATGTACAAGGAAACGAAGTGAACTCAAAAGCGTTTTACTTTTAAACAATTATTTAAGCACTTTTGATACAGAACACCCAATGGAAATAAGCACCTCCACTGGAAGCCCCTGTAAACCTGTAGGACACATACGTAACGTTTCAGCACCATACTAGGCCCTGATTTATTCATCTTTGTATCTCCAGTCCCTAACACAGTGCTAGCACAGAATGGGGCTCAGAAGGATTTACTGAATAAAGAGAAAAGAAGTGTGTGTGTGGGGGGGGGGGGTGTAACTTTGGTGAGGACAAAGAGGAAAGATCTCAAGGTTAAGAAAAGGCACCAAAATCGCCAATAAGTAAATGCCAGGGGTACACTCCTTATTCTAAAATATTTATGCAACTTAAACAAGGGTCCTACTTTTTTTTTTTCTTTACTGGTAGCCAGTCTTGCAGGAGAGATTAAACTAGCACTCGACTTGAGGGCACACAAGAGCAACAACTTAATAAAAGTCTAGGTGGGATCCTCGCCCCCATCGAAAAGCTTCCTTGGCATCTCGGAAACACTCAACTCCTAAAAAATCCCCTAACCGGAGAGATCTCTGCTTTCTTAGCGCTTCGCACACAGAAGCTTAATAAATGAAAGTGGCTTCCTAATTTCAGCAAAAACCTTAGTTGATCCAGAAGACGGCTTTGACTCTAGAATCCCCTCTCCAAGGTTCTAACTTCGGGGACTGCAGCCAGCAGGCGGACTCTTCCCGTTGCACCTCACAGTCCGCTGCGGGCCGGGTCAGAGGAGGAAACATCTCCGCGGCTACCCACCCCGTTACCTCCGCGGCGGGGGGAGGGCAGGACCCGCGAACTACCCGCTCCGCCCCCTAACTCTGACCCCCAGGCCCCTGCCCTACCTGACTGGTCGCCACAATAATATTCCGAATCCATGGCGGGCAGGCTCTCAGCGGGGAGTGTCCGCGCCCCGCACCGCCCCCGTCCCCTCCTTCCCGCGGTGTGTTCCTCGGTGGCGCGGCCCGGTGCCCTGACCCTTCCGCCCGACCAAAGGGTTTGGGGGACCTCTGAGCAAGACAGCAGCAGTAGCGACAGGCGAACGCTCCGACCGGGAAACGGATATGCGCGCGGGTCAGCGCTCTACTTCCCAGAAGCACCTCTGGGACCAAAATGGCGTCTACCCGCGACCCTCAAAAGAATGCAGCGCGCAGGCGCCGCCACCCGCCAACTGGCCAATGAGAAGACGAAGCGGCAATGACGCAAGGCCTGGCCGGAAAGGAGAATGCTGGGAAAAGTGAAGGGGCTCGCAGGCTTTGGTTAAATACCTTGTCCCGGGAGTATCCTGGTGTGTCCTCCGTGGAGATGATAATATTATTTTCTTGGTTTTGTCTCCGCCCTTTATTTGAGGCACTCCTGAGTCACTCTCGAACAATGATCCATTAAAACGAACTCGTTGCTATCGAGTCGATTCCGACTCGTAGCGACCCTATAGGACAGGGTAGAACTGCCCCCATAGGGTTCCCAAGGAGCAGCTGGTGGAGTCTAACTGTTGACCTTTTTGCTTAGCAGCCAAGCTGTTAACCACTGTACCACAACAAAGACCTGCGAAATTTTCCGTCATACTGCCACTTAACTACGGCTCCCGTCATGCCGCGAGGCTCTTGGCTCTCGCGAGCCCTCAGTACGTGGAGTAAGTGGCGCATTGCTCTCTGGAAAGGTAGTTCAAAGCCTAGTGAGATGATGGCGGTAGTTAACTGGCGCGATCGAAAGTGCCGCCTTTGTAGGCATTTTTCGACCTTTTCTTTCTTTCTTTTTTTTTTTTAAAAAGTCTTCGTTTGTATTTTACGAGCCACTTGGCCAAAAAGAGAAAGTACGGATATTTGCTTCCAGAAAGATCACTTGATGAAACCCTAAGGAGGTTAAACTTTTCCTGAGCCTGGGGCTCTGGTAAAACTGACGGTTAAGAAATCCTTTGTACCCTTTTGTATTCCCGGAAGGGGTTTACTGTGAAGAACCACCCTTGCCCATATGACTTTGATAAAACTCGCTGTCCAACTTTTTTATGACTCCCGTAAGACTCACAGATGACTCCCTTGTTTACCTGTGATAAAGTCAAACAAGCGTTTCCACTTTTGCCTGAACCAGCTAGAAAGGCTAGACACAGACCCTTGAACTCCCCCTTTTTTGTCTCATGAATAAATAACTGAGATTAGAACTGTTTGTGTCCTTGAAACTAGCTGGACACAAAGATAAACTTTTTTGTTCAGCTGAACAATTGAAACTTAACATGTTTGCAAAATAATCCCAACTGTGTGTCATTCTGTGTTTCTCCCTATAAAAATCTAAGGCAAAACTACCCTGCCAAGATGGTTAGATCTTGGGTGCTCTGTCTACTGCAATAGCCTGAATAATGTCAGTTTTTTGGTTCTTTTTTTTGTCTTTGACAAGGAGAACTTCTTTTTTTTTATTTTATTTTTTATTATACTTCAGGTAAAGGCTTACAGAACAAATAGTTTCTCATGAAACAGAGGTACACATGTTGTTTTATGACATTGGTTAACGACCCCACAACATATCAACCCTCTAACTTCTCAACCTCTTTTTTTTGTGGTGAAAATACACATAGCCAAAGATACACCATTTCGAAAATTTCTGCAGACACAGTTCAGTGACA